GATTGAGAAGAGTTTTTGATTTCGATAAAAACGTAAAAAAAAAAAAAAAAAAAGAAGAGGAAAAGTAATAAATACTACCTGTTTACAATGATGACAGCTATTATTAAATTTTTCTCTCTTTACTTCAACTTTGGTTGAGGCCAACTGGAAAATCACCGTTCCTTACTATGCAGCGCAAATACAAACTTTTGGTTTATAATTTATGATAAGAAGTAATAATTTCTAAGTGATGCGCTGTCCTCATTTTGTGATTGAAAACAAATTCACTGTCATGAGTAAGTGCGAAATATATGAACTTGTTTCAGCTTAAAAAAGGTAGTATGAAAATCTTATTTACGGTCAAGAATTTATACATGGAGCGACTGAAAACTGCTGGCTATTAAGTAATTATTGTTTTTCAAGAGGACAGCTTTTAAATTGCCATAAACAAAGCGTCAATTAAAGCTTGAACATGCAGGCAGGCGACAACGTGTTATTAGTAACTGGACAATTGTATTGAATAACTTTATATTTAGTTCTTCTCCCCGCTACAATGTTGATCATGAAATTATGAATATATGGAAATCCTACATGTTGATCAATGCTGATCAGTTTGAAAAACGCATTTAACCAGTCAAGATACCGAGGTGGCCTGCTTGGAGAAACAATCTTTTTAAAAATTCTGTTTATTATTTTAAACGCAGAATTAGATTTACATGCATGGTGTGAATTACTTGTTCTTGCAGAAAATTGTCAACCTGTCAATTCAGTTCATGGTGGCATATTGGGCCGGGGCAACTAAACACGTTGGCCTATTCAAATGGTCCCGTCAGGTCTGTTTGCCTCTTCCACATAAAGTTCATAATCAAAATCTCCTTTTAATAAGAATAATGTTTTTCCATTCCAGAATAAATATTCTTATTTCCCGGCGATTTTAGGCCGAAAATATTTTTGAATGTATTATTCTCCAATTAAAAAGATTTTATCATGATGCTTTTGGCTCTAACTTTACACGCATTTCATGTACCGTTCATCGAACTGTCTTTAGCATCAAACATTTGGCTGCCCTTGACGTTTAGAGAAAAGAATAATCTGATGTAGTTTATTAAACGACAATAGTATATAATTGTATTGTATTTACAGATTTCAAACACACAAAATAATATTCTCATTCTCATAAAATATGCTATTATGCATTTTTTAAAAAGGTGAACTTCCCCCTTGTTGCATGAGTTTACCTTTGCTATTCTTTCTGTTTAATCATGTTGGAGGTACCTGGGTTCTATTGAATGTTCGCTATAGTGTATATTTTACTACCATCATATTTTGCTTATACTGTGGTGAGAAATATAGATTGTTACTATTTCTGGAGATGTTACATTGCAAGCAGCTGTTTTATTTTTCATTCTGTCTTATTCTTATTTTTGTTTTTTAAGTATAAGAAAAAATAAAATAAATCAGCGTCAAAATTCAAAAGCCTTCCATTCAGGCTTGTAGTATTTCCAGTCTCTTGACGCTCCTTCTAGACAATTGTTTTCTTCTAAACAAGATTATAGTCTTAAAACTTCCGATCTAGGAAGGGGGTTTTTCCACTCTTTTTCGCATGAGAGCCGGTATCTCTTAATGATAAACATATTGAAAATGACCTAACAAAGCTAAAAGCAAAAACGGTACGAAACGAAAAACAATTAGACTGTTACACTCATGGCATCCCTAAAGCAATAAACAAGGTATATTTTCATCAACCCAAAACGTAGCATACAATCTAGCCTCCCACGCAGACGTTCTTAGGTGTTCGTCAGGTTCCTGGCAGGACCTAAGAACGTCTGCGTGGGAGGTTAGATACAATCCTACACTTAGTCCCTCTAATATACATCTTTCACCAGCTACACGTTATGATTGTCTCGTCTTTCTTACTTTGTTCCAGTGTCATTATTTATATCTTCACTCCTCGTCATCTTTGGACGCGCAACCTCATCAACATACTTGTCAGAACTACACTGCGTACAAATGCAAACAGTGTTTTCCAAGGCCGGGTTCTTTCTATCCTGATCAAAATTGTATTGCTTGTGCGTATGTTAATGATGGACGGACCGATTAACCTTCGTGGCAGGCGCCGGTTAGCTATTTTGTAAGAACACTTTGACCTTACGATTCAATTATTGTATCGGAGAAGTTTAGAGTCACGATTACGGCAAACGGAAAACCTGAGATTCAAGTTGACAACTCACATTAAGAAATGAAATTTTCCAAATAAATCTGATGGATGAACATAGCATCATAAAACTTATTCCAGTGTAGAAATAATGACTAGCAACAAGTAAAGGGCAAACTTAACCACGTGGTCGATTATGATGTAAACGTGATTCTAAATCTCTCTATTGCCATTTCATCGCTCTAACACTGAATCTGCACGGGGAATCTGTAAGTACTTCCGGGAAAATGCTGGCCTCGTCCCCCATAAGTCAAATCATCTTTTTATATTTCTCAATTATAACAGTTTTTTTATTAAGATACAGTCTGTTCACCAATTTTTCTCGGCCTTATTTTGACCAAATTGAAGATGAATAAGAGCTGGTACGCACGGTACCTGATAACTCTGCACAGTAGGTCTTGCCTTCTTAGTTTTCTTTGTTATTTTTAAGGCTTTAAATATTTTTAACTCACGAAACACCAAGAACGAGACAAGTGGACTTATTTTTACCCCTTTTAAATCAACAAATATTCCAAATGCGCCTTGTTCAATTCGGAAACGACTTCAAATTTAACCGCGCAAATTTCTACCTCAGAAAACATTCATCAATCCACTGTACACTGCTGGCAGCTAGACTACTTATTTAAGGTATGATTTAACAACTGCTTTTTGCTGCAATAAACACTCACAAGAAACTTGCTCTGGGAGAAAAACTGACCTGTTTAAGTGTGTCATTTGTTAATTGAGCTCTTAACTAAGAAAGTATTTTTCCGCTTATTTGATTATAAATAATTTTTAGCTTATAATTTTTAAGATTATGCTAACAGATTTTATCTTTTTCACTTTTAGCCATTAGTTTTTCTATTCTATATCTATATTATCATCTTATTTTATCATTTTTATTATCATAATCATTCATAAGTATTATTATTGGTAGTATTATTGTTTTTTGGTCAGCTTTTCTTTTCATTTTGTTTTGTCCTAAGCTTAAAAAAACCTATAAAATAGAAATAGCGTTGAAAGTTCTAGTAAAGTTTTGCTTATAAAAACGGGCTTAGATGTTAAATTGAGTTAAAGCTTAAAAAATAAATAGTAATCTTTACAACAATAAATACAACAAAACCCGATAAAATTACTTCACTATCAAAACAATAAATAAAACTAGGTATGTTTGTTTACTTTATTAGTTTCTTACCTTGCAAACATATATCAGATATATGAACGGTTTTATTTTGACTGAAATTGCCATGCAAACTTTTGAAACTATGCTGATGAAATTATTAAGCCACGTTTTTCCAAAAATATTTTTAAATTAACGATCTTTTTTTACAACTTAGATAATTATCGATTAGATATGTTACTTTTGTAGAAAATGTTTTGGTATTCGATCAGATATTTTATTATTATTATAATGTATTTTTCCACATCATTACTGGATAGATCACATTTTTTTCTCTTAATTTGTTACTTTGTTTCTAAGAAATGGTTTATGCCTTTGGAAGAGGCAGTGAGGCGGGACAAACTATTGGAACAGTTGCCTCTGACATTTTCAGTTTTCCACCATCAATGGAAATTAAAGTAAACAATTTTACAGGTACATGTAATTATCAAAACGCAAACCCCTGTTAAAAAATAAGAAAAGAGTAGGAAATAAAAACAGTGCAAATCCCAGCAAAGTTTTGCTCATGAATCGATTTTTTCAAAGTAACATTTGCAAAGATAGCAATTTCAAAATCAGATAAAAGCAAACCTAATTCGCCATCTTAACAATAAATTGAAGTAAGTATTTTCATTACAGCTTGTATTTTCACTTGAAAATTCTCAAATCTTTAGGTCATTTTTCAAAAGGAATTTTTCCTATGAGACATTATCTTTTAGTTTTCAATTTAATATTTTTATATGTTGATTGTATTAATTCCAGTACTTTCTCGATTCATTAAGTAACAAAGCTTTATGCTTTTTTTCTGATTTTAATTAAAAAAAGGATTCAAATTTCTTGTACTACTACACGATAAATTTCTGCAATTTGATTGGTTTAGAGCAGTGGTATTTCAGCTTAATTTGAAAAACCTACATGTGAAAATTACAAACCTTTTGTGGGTAGTTGTACAAACAAATAATAGCATGATATTACTCGTGGTATCTATGCCAAATATCACTACAAGTCATGCTTAGCCTATTACCTATACAAATACCATCACTGAAAAAGTGACAGAGGCAGTAATATAAGATGTGACGAACCATTTAAATAGATCCACAGGCTTCAGTGATTTGCCTCTGACATTTCCAGTTTGCCTTTAACAGTCACAAGCAATTATCAACCTGTAAATATGGCTGTTGAAAAAAAACAGACAAGATAAAAACAGTTCAGACAGTTGAAATTATTTTGCAAATACTAAGAGCAATTTTCAAGAAATTCTTAAACGTTAGCGTAAAACTGATTTCCCTTAGCGTAAAGGATCATTTGGATAGTCATAGGTAAAAGTCTTTCATTTCTTTTTATATATTTTTATCGATTTTAAATTGCAACTTTTATGACAGTTCTATCCGGAGTCAACAGCAGAAAATTACTGAAGTTGTTCCTTTTTAAAAAAGAAATTGAGGTGGCTTTAATTACATGTGCCTGTAAATTGTTAACTTGTCCAGTGGCATGATGGTAGCTCTTTGGAAATGTCATAATGAGGTCAACTTAACATGTTGGCCTATTCAATGGTTTGTCACACCTGGTAACCGCCTCTTCTACTGAAAAAGCGCCAATCAGCAGGAGGCACGAATTCCTAATAATTAATATAATCAATTTATAAGGATGAACTTCTCCATGCCTAGATGAACGTCAAGACAAAGGGATCAGATCTCGAAGTTCTGGAGAAGTGCTAATAAGGTTGGTGTGAGGCATTCGTTGGACGAATGCGTGCCTTTGTTTGGTTTTGTGTTTCAAGCCAGAGTTGAGATCACTTTCACCTTTATTGCCCTTGAAATCAGTGATTTTGTGTTCTTAGTAGCCAATCTCGAAATGTGAGGGGTAGGCTGTACGCGGTAAATGTAAATGTAGTGCATGTCTATTTTAGGTATCGCTTTTTTTCTTTGTAAAGGTCGTCTCTCTCTCCTTTTTTTTCTATTTTCTTTTTTTCTTTTGTCAGTAAATAAGGAAGATTTTAGAAGTTTCTGTATATCACATTATATGAGTATACATTTTCTTTAATTAATTTATGTGTTAGACTATTCATGAAAAGGTGCAATTTCTATAAAATAAGTACAAGGACGACCACAACTTCACAGAAAATTCAGAATAAATTTGCTCTTTTTTGACCACCAATGTGAGTATTTCTGTTCGTTGATTTTTATCGCTAAGTTTTGCGGTTTTGCGGGTTTAATAGGCGTCAATTACCCTCTTCCTCTTCCCCTGTGAAAAGGTTCATTTATGTAACCTGCATGATTGTGAGATAGACTGATATTCCTTTAAAAACCGTCTAAGGGATTTTTTTTCATCTACAGGCATTCATCGGGCAACCAAGAGCACCTTTTTGAAGTGGATTTTCACTGTCTTTTCTTTTTACAAGTTGTGCCACTTATTCTCATATTACAGACCATTTCTTTTCATTCCTGTATAAGATATAAAGTACAGTTTTATTTGGGGTAAAAGAGAGCGGAAAAAAACTACTTGTGCTCGACCACTGCAGTGCTTATGTAAACTAAGCTTAACGTCAACCCTTGTGTTTTGTAAAAAAAAATGCCAGTTTTCAAAACAAACCCTTTGACCCAAAGTCTACCAATGACAAAGTGGACAATATTGCGAGGTACCCAAAACGTACAGAAACGGAATCCTAAATATTTGACAGTAACTTGCGTTCCCTATCCAGGTCATAAATTCGCTTCTAACACTTGCATCTTTACGTTGCAGTTATTGGTCAGGAAAAACCTCATTTTGTCTTTGAAGTGATCTCGAAGCAATGAATATTCCATTTGTTTTGCTGTCGTTTCTTCTGGCTTCACACGTCGAATGCCAAGGTTTGTTGTTACAACCGCATTTAATGGTGAAGGTTTAGAGTATTTTTAACCTCTTCTACTAACTTAAACACGTAATTTAATGTTTCAGGAGAAAGCACAACAAAGGCAAAACGACTTGCAGTCGCAGAGGAAACTTTTGACGACAACGAGAGCTTTGAAGAGGTAGCGTGTCCACGTCCTTTGGGCGCTCATATATCTATTCCATAGATAAAGTACCTTTGACTATATTCGTTATTTTTCACGTTTTCGCAGATAGTCACACGTCTGTGTTAACACTCACCCCATCCCTCACCCCTACTCAAAGTTGTTCCTTCAAGTTTTGACCATGGTCTTGTATAGTTCTGGCAGCTTTTATAAAGGGAGGAGGGGTGGGGGGATTAGCAAGCACAAAATAAGGCAAAGTTTCTCAAGTGTTTTTGCAGCAGGTTGCAACTCACCTAAGGGGGGCTGGTTATTTAAGATTTACCAAGAAACGTACGTTCTGTTAATGTCAACTCCCGTCATTTACTCCCGCTATTTTTTCTTTTCCAAAAAGGTTATTTAATATTTCATTAATGATGATCCTGTTTTATTTTGATGCGTCTAAACTTCCAACTAGACAGTAGAATCCGACAGCAGTGTTAGTGATGACGATTTCCAGGACGAACTTGAAAGCGGGAACTTCAGCAAGCCAGTTGTGATAAAGGTGATATATTTTTTATATTAAATATCATTTTCTGACGGTTGACGGTTAAATTTTGGACGATTTGACGGTTGATGGTTAACCTTATTGAGAACCTTCAATAAGGAAGCCAATCAAATAATTGTAGTGGTAGGTGTCACCTTATTTTCAGCTGTACAATGATTTCAATACTTTTTGGCTCGGTTCGCAGGAAAAACCTGGGACAAAGCCAAAAGCAAAGCCAGACTCAGAGGGTTATAATGCTGATGAGGAAACCGAAGGCGAAGCAGCCAAAACAGATGATAAGGGAGACACCGAATTAATTAGAACCGAAGGCAAACCAGGATGGGCGGAGAAAGTCTTGAAAAAGGTTTGGAAATATTTTTCCATTCCTAGAAGCTACGAAAAGACCCGAGAGGTTGCTACATGCCATATGAGATAGACAACCTATGCAATTTATATGTGCTCTGAATATTTTCATTTCTAATAGTTCATTGGCTTGTAAAAAACTAAATGAGACTCAAATGGCTTTTCTAATAGCAAATACTTGACAATTCCTCTCTCTCATTTATGAAATACACAACGCTAACTTTATATTCAACTCAAATTTTTAAAGAATTATTTCACATAGTTAGTTGGAACCTTGGGAAAGAACCAA